GAGGAGTTCTAAATTGCTTGAGTAGGAAGACTTCACAGGCTGATGATTGATAGGCAGAAACAAGCCTCAAGGGATTTCTGGAGTATCAATTTTTTGGTCTATGATTATGGCATTTGGCGTTATACTGCAAGCATCAACCCATAAGTCCTACAGATGGAAAACTTTTGAAAAATGTAATTGAAATTATGTATCCCATACATCATGTTGTTGACAATATATATAATTATCCAAACCAATGCAGGATGATACAAGCTGATAAAAATAGACTCTGAAAAATTGGAAAATGTGAGCCATCTGGTAGACTGATTTTTACACCATGGGAAGTCCTAATGTGTTTGCTAATAGCAAACTATCACCATGTGTTCCCAGCCACAGTAAATAGAATGCAGTTTGAACGTCGTCTCTCTCCTGTGGAATGATATATGTAATGTTATTCGGCCCTTTTTCTTTCCACTGTTTCCTAGAGACTTTACTTCAATCCCTCTCGTGCAAATTTCAATATATTCCCAAACATGTCATCTTTAAGAGGAGTGAGCATTCAGTACATACAGTCACTGAGCTGCTTCACTAATCTATGCTTTCTCCTTCTACTGGTATTCATCAATTCCAGCATTCAAAATTCAAGATTTCTTCCTAGGAAGTGTGTGCAAGGTTGCGATTGGGATCAACGGTCTGATTCACAGGTGTAATACAAAGTCCTCTGAGAGACAGCACATGCTATGTAGGGAAATGGAGAGGCTGGTTGTCTCAAAGGTTACTTAGTGTCCTAAAACTTTGGGACTAGTTCAGGGGTGGGCTGCTGGAGGTTCGCAGGGGTTCGGGAGAACCTCTAGCTAAGATTCTGTGCAGTTCAGACAACCCCCCCAAATCCCTTTCCTGGCTGGTCCCATCCACCCTGCCCCTCCCAGTAGTCCCCATGTGGCCCATTTTGGATGCAGATAAGTGCAGGGCTCGGGGAGAGTGAAAAATGGGCCTACCGGAAGTTTGAAAAGGCCAGAAACAGGCCCATTTCCAGCCACCAGAGGGCCTCCGGAGCCTGGGGAACCTGTTTTCGCCCTCCCAGAGGCTCAAGGAAAGCCTCCAGAGCCTGGGGAGGGCAAAAACGCTCCCCCCATTATGGTGCAGGAGGCCGACTAGGCCACCCCCACCATGGCCACATCCACCCAGCAACCGAGCAGAGAACCCCTTGCTAAAAATTTTGAAGCCCACCCCTGGACTAGTTCTCATAATAGTCCAAACCTATCCTAAAGATTATGGATTGCATTAAAGATTGGAACTGAATCTCATCCTTGTTTCTTTGTTCCTTGAATGTCTTTTTGATTGTGGTCAGTGTGTTCGCTTTTGCATTTTGAGCAGTTTATAAACACTGAGTTAGATCTGAATGCTTGCCGTGTGAAAAGGGAGCAGACATATACCACTGACAAATGGAAAAGCTAATGTGAAAATTTTACTAATGAAATTAAATCTATTTTGGATGGACTTGGGCTTCTGAAATCCAATCATCAACAAACTTCCAATGAGGTCTGTTGAACTTTCAGTCTGATTGGTATTACTGTTGACAAATGTTGTTTTTTGTTTTTTTACAAATGCTGGAAGAATTATAACGATTGGGTGCATGAATACCTCCCAGATCACTGTCAGGTTTTCATTATGTATATGGCACAAATGATAGTTCTACTTTTAGATGCTCTGAGTGTTTTTTTTTTCCCCTGACTGTGGCTCATTGCTTAGTATTCTGGACAGAGCACCACTGAGCACTAGAGGCAACTGCCCCAAGGTCATGTTTCAAATAGTATGATGTGCAGTTCAAGATGTTGCTCAAGTGGTCTGCCTACCTCAAGTTATTACTTCTCTCCCAGATCTCAATTGTTGATATTATGCACCAGTTTCTGATTCCTTGGATGTCCAGGTATTGCTGGCTTGGAATAGTAATGCATTTAGGGTGAATGGCACATGAAATCAACTATCAGAAAGCATAATGGTTCCATATAATTAGAAATTGCTGGATTATGCTACAGGGTCAATGTTTTCAATATTTGATTCGTTTACTTATCTTTATTTCTAGTATTTGCCACCAAGGCTACCTTTGATTATGTAGCTAAAAGAAGAGGGAAGTTTAAACACCAACGACAGAAGACGTGTGCCCATTTATGTAAAGACTTAATGGAAGATCCTCCAAAATAAATGAGTTTACTAGAGTCACAGAACACTGGACTATTAAGAAGGGAAGACTCCCAAATCCCACTTTCAGTAATGCTGTGAATAATGTGCTAATTAGGAGCATCTGCAGCTGGGTTCAGAATGATAGGCACATACTACTGGGCATGAAGTGGACTTTGATCTCCAAGACCTATTGGCTGAGATTTAATGGCTTATTTGGAGTTTATCTGGCTTGTCAATAGCCTTGTGCCTTCATAGCACTCCTTGCTTTTCCTGCTTCTGGGTAATGCCTAGAGTAAGTGTATGACTTCTTCTTGCCCCTTTCAACAACAACAACAACAAATGTTCTATCTGTAGAGAAATTGACTGCACATCACCTTCATGGTGGTATCTAAAAGGGCAAAGCAAAGCACAACAATAATAACGAACAATAATAAATTCCCATTCAAGTTTCTATTTGAAGAAAACCACAGCTGTGTTTTTTCCAAGAGACAGATGTTCCTATTTTATCTGCCACATTTTAAAAAAAAATATCAAAGTGGGGGAAAAAGGGATAGATGGATGGAGTGGTGACAGCAAACCACAAAATTGGACTCTCAAGAATAAAACTGAGATAATCATATTTATGGAGTATAATAAATGGAGTAATCATGTTTATGGAGCATAACATTATTAAATCTTTGCTTCCCTCTAACAAGATTTGCTTCAAGACTGCTAGCAATGCTCTGCTGTAGCATCCCTTTGTATTATGAGCCTATTTGAACCACTTGGGTAAATGGTAAAAAACAGAACAGAACAGAAAAGAAAGGAACGCAGCCTTCACACACTGGCCCTGTATCTGTTTCACATGTCCAGTGATTGTTGATCTTTGTCTCTTTTTTGCTTATGATTCGAAAGGAAACTTATTATTTCTCTCTCTTGTGTTTTTCTCTCTTCTGTATGTTTCTGTCTCTCTTATATGCTTTTCTCTCTCTCTCTCTCTCTCTCTCTCTCTCTCTCTCTCTCTCTCTTGTGTGTGTTTCTCTCTTCAAGAGATGCCTTAGGGAGAACTGAAGCTTTCCCATTCTTTGCCTTTTTAAATCAACTTTTACTTCAAATGTCCTCTGGCTTCCATTCATACCTGGGTTAAGCTCATACTCTGCATGTAAGTTGCTCAGAGTTGACTGAACTCTGAGATGGGCAACAAATAAATGTGATAAATCAATAAAATACCCTGCATCTTAGACAATCCAGTATGATGAATGTTATTGTATTAAAACTGCTTTCAATTTATATTTCATATATTGTTAATAGTATGAAGAACATACATCTAATACTATGAACATTGTTTTGTTTTTAATAGGACTGTCTGCTATTCAATTAATTGGCATTCTTTTAGCATCTGCATATGTTCAGTAACATATTTCTCAATAAGGGTTCCCGCAGTCAAGCTTACCAAATCCTATGTCTGCATAATAGAAACTGGCTATAACAAGGGGAGGCGGTGGCTCAGTGGCTAAAATGCTGAGTTTGTCGATCGAAAGGTCGGCAGTTCAGCGATTCGAATCCCTAGTGAGGATGAGCTCCCGTTACTTGTCCCAGCTTCTGCCAACCTAGCAGTTCGAAAGCACGTAAAAAAATGCAAGTAGAAAAATAGGGACTACCTTTGGTGGGAAGGTAAGAGAGTTTTGTGCGCCTTTGGCATTTAGTCATGCTGGCTACATGACCACGGAGACGTCTTCAGACAGCACTGGCTCTCTGGCTTTGAAACGGAGATGAGCACTGCCCCCTAGAGTCAGGAACGACTAGCACATATGTACAAGGGAACCTTTACCTTTATAACAAAGGATACTGACTGCTAAAGGGAGGTCCAAACATTTTAAGTTATTTTGGGGTTATACAACTTCACTGTCATTTTTCCTAAAATGAAATTAATGCTAGTTAATCCTGATCATCCTGACCGATTCAAGGTTACCTCAGCTTTCCATCCTTCCGAGGTCAGTAAAATGATTGTTGGGGGCCATATGCTGACTCTGTAAAACTGCTTAGAGTAAAGCATTATGAAGTAGTATATAAGTCTAAGTGCTATAGCTAATTGTTTTTTCATGAGAAGGCATGATTCATACGCTTGGCTCAAGAACACACATATTGGTTATTTGCAAATGATTGTCTTGAATTTATTTATTCATGCAGGCATGTGCATGTAGTTTTAAAGCTGACTCTGCTTTTGTATTTCATTGCTACAACAGATGACTAATTATTTCATCTTTATTTTCAAGATATAATATTCTAAACAGACTAAGAAAACATTTTCATTGACTCTGAAGCCCCTGTGCTTATTGTATTTTAAATGGGACACAATTGTCCACTGAAAGTAAAATCAATTCTTAGATGAATGGAATTGATTAAATCAACTTGATATATAGAGATATAAGGCCAAAGTTTGTTACCTCATCCCAAAGATTTGCAATTGGTAATGCTTTTTCTTTTCTTTTTGATGCCTGGCATTTCCAAACTGCCTCCACCTCTTGATTTATGGGAGATGTTTCCCACCCTATTTTACCATTTTATTGCTTTATTGCCTTTTGTGTGCTTGTGTATTGTGTCAGCTCAACCAATTTAGTTTGTAAAACACAGGTTTTAGACTTTAGGCATGTCTGAGTGTAATTTGTTTAGGGAACTGTGCTAAACAAGCCATGATGTAGCCTGTTAAACATAGCCATTGCCTTTTATTGTTGATATGCCAATGTATCCATTTATAGTTGATTATTGTTTGGTGCTGATGTCAGCCGCATCGCGCAGCCGCGTGTCGGAGCTGCCATTCCGGTGAGTGCGGAGGCTCTGGCAGAGCGGCAGCTCCCATGGCACCTGGCTCCTCAGCTTACCTCCTGGCCACCAAGCAATGTGAAGATCCCTTTCTGAATGGACTGGACAGTGAGTGCAGCTGGGAGCTGCTGACTGAGCAGCTGTTGGGGGAGGCTGAGAGACTGAGGGTCACGAAGAGGTTTGGAAATGGCTGTAATGATGGCTAATATGGAGCAGTAGCCAGTGAGCTGGGAGCGTGCGGGAGTAATGCCTAATTGCAGTATCTAAGGGAACAATGATTTATGAGCAGGGAGGAGCTGGGTTATATGAGGATCAGTAGAGTAGACATTTGCAAGGCCAAGACAATAAAGCTGAGTAGAGCAGACTAACAGCTAAAAGTGAATTAATTGAAAAGTATTTAAAATTAATTTAAACATTTACATTAATAAAATACAGCTATGATGCTTAGTCCCCATTCATTGAATGTTATTGTTCTGTCACATTAGTCACAGGTGATAGTGAAGATCTGGGAATCTCATCCAAGCTTGAATGTTGGCAATTTGAGATTTCTATGCCAGGGAAAGAGAGACAAAAACTGAGGTTCACTATGCCAAAAGGATATCAGCTGCTACAGGTTGGGAAAGGCTAACCCACAGCTGAAAGAGAAATTATTGTATGATATGATATTGTATGATAGGGTAGCCCATTCATTCTTTCAAACACTGTCCATGTTTTCAAGACAGAACAGGTGAGAAGTTCAGTTTTAGATATCAATGCCTCATTATATTTCCAGTTCACAGATCCTGCCAGAATGCAGTACAGAAAATATTGTCAGGGGAGCATCATACATTGGGAAAACAATGTACAAGTGGGCCTTATAATACTGGCATCTTCCAGCATAAAAACTACAGGTAGTCCTCAATTTACAACCACAATTTGGCCCAGAATTTATGTTACTAAGTGAGAAATTTGTAAAGTGAGTTTTCCCCCATTTTATGACTTTTCTCACCATGTTTGTTAAGTGAATCACTGCTGTTGTTAAGTTAGTACTACGGTTGTTAAGCGAATCTGGTTTCCCTATTCACTTGCCAGAAAGTGGCAAAAATTGGTCACATAACCCCGGGACACTGAAACTGTCATAAATATGAATCAGCTGTCAAGCATCCAAATTGTTAGGAAATGGCTATTGTCTAACTAGTTGGTCAGGCAATATATAAACTATCAATACATGTTTGTCAAAAGGTATTACATTGCTTTAAGACTGTATTGCATCATCCTGTATTCTGATTGGCTAAGCTCTGTAGCCAATGTACTTAAGGGGAAGCCTGAATCATGGCTTGTGGCTACACCATTTTATCTGCTTATTTGCTGTTACTCTCTACCTGTTCTCTCTGTATGATCACTGTTTGATCATTGCTACTTGTTGCTTTCTACTATTTATTGAATGTTTTAATACTGAACTTGTTCCTGTTTGAAGCTCAAGAAGAACTGTTTTATTATGTAATGACAACAACTGGTAAGAAGACTTTGTACTTGGAATATCCCTGAATTGATATTTTAACTATTGCCTTATCTGTGTATGACTTGGATTGTTATTGGACTTTGCGTTTCTTTTTCCTAAAAAGTAAAAGACTACCACAACTCAGTGTGTCAGTATATTAACTGTGGTTATTCACTCTCAGCCACTTTCATGTGCATACTCAAGGGGTACTCTGCTCAATAACCCATAACATCGGTTATGAGCCAAGAATATCCTTAACTCAAATGTAAATCATGCGACCATGGGGATGCTGCAATGGTCATAAGTGTGGGAAATGGTCATAAGTCACTTTTTTAGCGCTGCTGTAACTTCAAACAGTCACTAAATGAATTGTTGTAAGTCGAGGACTACCTGTACACTAAGGGAACCAGACCCACATTTTTTCACTTGTGAATGAGAATAATATGTCAGCAGGTTGCAGCATCTGGCTACCCTTGCCTGATCTCAAAAAGAAAAGCAAGGTTGGGCCTTGTTGGTACTTAGATGAGTTGATCAGGAAATCTCAGCTCTATAAGCTAGACTGACAGGTTGAAAAAATCCATCTTGGAAGTCATCAGTGGCAAACCACAGCTATTTTGTTGAAAAGAAAACAATGTGGGTGTATCTATGAAGTCGCCAGGCTTGACTTGAAGGAGACTTGACTTGAAGAGTGATTTGCTTGTAGCCACTTTACAAAAAAAATCCATTCATTTAAGTATGATTTATCAACTCAAGAAGACCAGGAGGGTGATAACTCTTGGAAAGAAATCACCTTACTTAAGCTTCTATTAATTTCTTCTTTTTCTAGGGTGCAAATTGGACACTGAGCATTCACTGATGTAAAAGAATATTTAAAATTGAACCACGGCTTTGAAAAGCATGACTTCTTTCATTTCTCATTAATATCACTTTTCATTTCATATTTTAATGATCTTGTTATTTGTACGGCCTCAGAGAAAAGAGATGTGATGATTAAAATGTGAAAGGAAAAAGTCTTGTCAGAAGAAGAGGCAACCTGCCGTGAGAATGCTAATCGAGACAGAAGAAACCTGAGGAAAGGAACTCTTGGGGGCCATGTTTTTCAAAGAGACAATGTGGATTTCAAGGAAACATATGGGCCTAGTCTGCTACCTCCCACAGGGACAAACCTAGGCAAACCCCACACTCCTGATAAATGGCTCCCTCAACATTATAAGCTATGAAAATAGGAAACCACAAAGGAGAAATGAGGAAAACTAACTAAAAAGAACATACAGGCATCCTAATAATTAAACATAAGGTTTATTTGTAAAGCCAGAAGTCCAGATCCATTCATTAAAATATTAAAAGTGATATGGGAATTAAATTATAACTTTCAACATTTGAAAGCAACCATTCCACGTCTCCATATTTTTGTCCCTGGGTTATTATCATTATTATTTTTAAAAATTGGATGTATGCCCAGTGTAATCACAGTTTTGTTTCTGATTGTATTTCAGAAAAGAATGGTTTAAAATGTGCATTCAGAGTCTTCCTTTCTAAAGCTAGCTTTTTAAAAAAAAAATCATTTATTTGCACATTTCAACTTTTTTTTTTTTTTAATGTGAATATGACAGATGCCCCATTCATTAACAAAGAGTCAGTGAGGGAACGGAAGAATAATAAAAAATAATTATGTAGCTGTTTCAAAATTAAGGGCTGGTGAAGTAGGTGCATAACATGCCAACGATCCTGAGCTCAATCCATGCATTCCCAGGGAAGGCTAGAAATGCTTTTGATTAAACCCTGAAAAACTTCAACAAATCGGTGTCAAAATTATGACAATTAACTTGTAAGGCAGATTTTTACGGAAAAGGATCCGTAATGCATCCATATCATATTTTTGCCTGCTCCATATCATGTTTCTCTTGTTTAATTAAAACTGTGCTTCTGTCTCTTTTAAAAGGGGCAAAGCAGGATAAATATGGAACTGAAGAACAAAATTCTAGTCAGCTAAAACCCAGTCATTTAGTTTAGTGCTGAGTTTAGATTACTGTTGAATTGTGTTGAATTGAGTTGAGTTGCATTGAGTTGAGTTCCGTGATGCACTTGAGTCAGTCTTGATTTCTGGTGACTGCCTTGGAGAAGTTTCTGCAAGTTTTCTTGTCAAGATATCAGAAGCGATTTGCCGTTGCTTCCTTCCTAGGTCAGAGAAGGTATGACTAGCCCGAGATCACCCAGCTGACTTTGTGCTCAAGGCAGGTTTAGAAAACATAGTAGTGCTGGATAGGAATTTTAGATATTTTTTTCCTCCTTAGAGCTCACTTTAGGGTGATTTGGGATCTCACCCTGTCAACCCTACCGACCTCACAGTTATGGCCATGATGGTAAAATAAAGGTGAGGTCACCTTGAGTCCTCAGAAAGAAGGCAGGATATAAATTCAGTAAGTGAAAAAATAATAAATTAATCCATTTTTTTTTTTAAATGCAGTTTTTAAAATAAATAAATAGCAATAGCTATTTATTGCTATTTAGACTTAAGTGTTGTGGTCCGCCAGCAGCCTGCAGAGCTGGCAGCAGAGTCAGACAGTGAGGAGGATGGGGAGGACAATGGGCCAGTCCTGGAGTCAGGGGAAGGCCCAGATGAGGGCTCTGTGTCGGAGGCAGAGATGGGGCCAGGGCCATCTGGACTCACGGACTCCGGAGCCTCCAGAGGTGGATAGCAGAGAGACAGAGGAACAGGAGGAGCCTGTTCCTAGTGCACACATGCAAAGAGCTGCCAGAAAACAAGAACAGCTAAAGCAAAAAGGACGACTTGGGAGTAAGGCCAGGAGATTATTTATTTATTTATTTATTTATTTCATGTATTTATATGCCGCCCTTCTCCAGAAGGACTCAGGGTGGCGAACACAAGTTAAAAACATGTACAACAAAATCCCATTTTAAACCAAATTAACTAATAAATAATAAAACCCAGAATCAGAGTCAGCCTATTTGCTTGAACAGCCAAGTCTTCAGGTCCCGACAGAAGGAGCGGAGATCAGGAGCCATCCGGAGCTCAGTAGGCAACTCATTCCAGAGGGTGGGAGCAACCACAGAGAACGCCCTACCCCTGGGCACCGCCAGACGACATTGGCTCGCCGTCGGAACCCTGAGGAGAGCAGCCCTATGTGAGCGAACAGGACGGTGAGAGGCAGGCAGGAGAAGGTCCTGCAAATATCCCAGACCTAAGTCATGTAGGGCCTTATAGGTGAGAATCAGCACCTTGAAGCGGACCCGGAGAACCACTGGTAATCAGTGCAGCTCACGCAGGAGAGGTGTTATATGGGAGTAACAAGGGGCTCCCGTAACAACCCATGCGGCTGTATTCTGGATCAGCTGGAGTCTCTGGGTGCATCTCAGGGGCAGGCCCATGTAGAGGGAATTGCAGTAATCCAAGCGGGAAGTAACCAGGGCATGAGTGACAGTGTGAAGGTCATCTCAGTCCAGGAAAGGGCGCAACTGGCGTACCAGGCGAACCTCTGCGAAGGCCTCCTTGGTCACAGCCATCAGGTGGTCTTCTAGGGATAGCCGAGCATCCAGGAGGACACCCAAGTTGCAAGCCCTATCAACGGGGGCAAGTTTTTCCCCACCCATCAAAAGTGATGGGGTC